CTTTATGCATATGTGTTGTATTTAAACCACTAAATTATAGAATAAGTAGTTACTGATTTTATTCTATTAATATAAATGTTTTCATTCTTGGTTTGGATATCCACTTTAATTAAATTTTTCTATCAGGTTCTTATTTGCCAGATTAAAAAGTATAAAAATGAACAAAGATGATACATTTTTAATTTGTTCTCAATAAAAACATCCCATTACATTCTTTCTTTTGATGAAAATTTATTTTGTCATCTCTACTCCTAATCAAAATATGTTGTCAAATTATCTGCCAATCCAGAACAAAAACAGGACTATGATTCAACATTACTGGTAAATATTTTACCTGTATAGTCCTGACTAAGGTCTTAATTCAGTTATTCTAAGCCAGTTAGATAAATATTTAAGGAGCTTTGTGAATTGTTGTACCTAGGATTTTTAAGATGAAAAAGCAAAATGTAGGTAAGAAATAAAGTTCTTGGGTGTTTTGGCCTTTTAGTGATTCAGCAAAGTTTCTTGAATGCTATATAAGGCTGAGGATGTGACTCTGAACAATTCACTGGTGTCAGCCTCTACATATTCATTGAGACAAAAATCTCCTTACTAATTTCATGATTCTGTATTTGAGGTGATCAGATTCACAACTAAAATATATTCCAGTAGTTTTATTTTACACTCTTCTCATTATCTACCCTATGTGAGCACAAGAACACCACATGAGCATATGGCAAGCAAATCTAAACAGGTCATAGGTAATAGCCAAATGTACTATGTTTTTCATCTGCATGGGGCTACTAAATCAACCACCATTATTGACTGACCAACTGATTTAATTAAACAATTTATTTTCCTGATTCTTCTTTTTTAGTGAACTGCTATTGAGAATATTTAACCCATTGCTTGGCCCTAAAGACAATTTCCTGGTAAACAAACATTTAACCTGCTCTTGTGGACTCCCTCAAATCCATGACCCATGAGGCAGTCATGGTTTCAAGATGCAAACCTGATTCTAAAGCACTTGTCCAGATTAAAATACTTCAAGGCTTCCTATTGATTTTGTGTTGGGAGCAAACACCATAACGTGACCCATTTACCACATGATACATCATTCAAACTAGGACACTTTAAGACTGAAGGAGGGTGTAATTGTTACACTAGTAAAGCATGACAGCTCCCAGAAAAGAGGTTGGGTCATTCACCCCACTCACAAGGCCCTACTGCTTCAGCTTCCCTCACACTCTCCTTCATTCTTCCCTTCCAGTTTTCCCCAGCATCAGGAGTCCTCTTTCAGACTCAGGTATCCTATCCTAAGCTCTCTCCAGCAACCAAGTCATACCTCCATTGTAACTTTTACTTTTGGACTTGGCTCATTCTCTTTTCATTCCTCCAAATTAACTTCTAACCTAACCTTCAGAACTTAAGTTTAAACATCACTTTTCAGGAAAGTCTGCACTAATCTCTCAAAAAAAAAAAAAAACAACTCTGATAGCAATGCCCACTCCTGATTTAGGAACTGGACACACTTGACATGATATCTTTAGTTATCTGATCATTAGATTGTCTTCCCCATTGAACTGATCCCCTTGACTAGATTCACAGATCCTTAGTAAATATTTTCAAAGCATCAGGCACTTCTGTTAAGAAAACATATATACAGTCTATCTAAAACCCTGCAAACAAGCAAAAGGACAAACATATGTCCACTGAATGTCACAATGGGGCACTGCCTAACAGGCTCAGACAAGAATTACCTAAATTTCTGTGGGGCTCCATGGGATGCCCCACAGCTGTTGCTGTGTCTTTATCACAAGGCGAATGTTGCTAGTTTCAGTTAGGGCAATGCTTTCCCACGGTCGGGACGTTCCAGAGGAGTTGAGAATGTTGTAAACAACAAGATGGCGCCGAGGACCGCGCGGTGAGCCTGCCTGCTGCGTGACACCTCATCTGATTGGCCCGAGGATGCGTGCACACTGCGTGAACAGACAGCGGATTGGAGTGTTCCGTGCATGGACTTGAGCCCGCTTGCAATTGGCCAGATTTTGTATATAAGCTATGTGCTGAGGAAAGAGGGGGCTTTCCTGTCCACTCTCCTCCTTTCATTCTTTCACTGTCCCTGTTATTTTCCCATTAAAAGTCTGCTGAAGACCGATGAGCTGCGAACAGTGTCGTTCCTTTGCGGGCAAGGGAGCGGCAAGTGGTGCCGTGACTCGGATCCGGACCACTTTTTCCACGCAGGAATAGGTAAGAAACAAAAGGTAAGCGTGCGAGTGCACGGAAATCCAGCTGGGGAAAGAATAGAAACCGCGGTTCCGTCGAGGAAAGACGGGGAAATTAAGCGCCAGAAAAAAGGGTAAAGGAATCCCTTAAAAGGCGGGAGTACAAAATGTTCAGAAACGCCAGGAAATAGGCGGAAACTTCCTTTTTACCTCGAAATGGACAATACTCAGAAACTTCCTTTTTACCTCCAAATGGACTATTCTCCGTCCACCACTAGGTTGCACATGCTGTTGAGCTGCTTGTTAAAAGCTGCGGGGACGCCCGTTAAGGCGGCCACAGTATGTGCATTCACTAGGGCTGTTGCCAAGATGTCACCACGGTTTGTGGAAGGTGGCGAATTAGATGAGCAACAGTGGCGGAGAGTAGGGGGACAGTTGAGAGCAGCCGGAGAGCCGGCAGAAATACTTAGATTATGGCAACTCATTGAACAGACACTTCAGAACCCCACTGAGAGCATAGGGCTTTTACTTGATGAAGGATGCGAGCTCCTAGAGAAGGTTCAGGAGGAGTCTCGGCATGATAGTCAGTCTAGTGACTGTGGTAGTCAGTGGGACAGGAAACAGACGGACAAAGGTCCCTGTAGGGACCAGCCACCGGATGAGACAGAGAAAAATTCAGTGAAGGACCATCCCCCATCGAGTGCACCCCTGCGCTCGAGGGGGCCATCTCATTTATATCCCAGTTTGACTAAGCTAGCAAATTTCTCCTTAGAGGATGAACCGCCGCCGCGGTATCGTCCATTGACTCTCCCTAAATCGGCCCCTAGAAAAAAGAAAAAAAAAAAAAGACTATAAAGACTCCATTACAGATACAGGGAATAGGGTTAAACAAGGCGAGCCATAGAATGGTTCATTAATGCTATAAAAATAGTCAGTCCTTGGTTCGAAAAAGGAGTCGTGAATAAGCAACATTGGGATTTCCTCAGAAAAAACTTAAATGTGCATTTAAAGAAACAAAGCAAGCCGTGACAAAGGCTGTGAAAACTTTGTTGCAGATATAGAGAATAGGGTTAAAGAAACAAACTGTAGAGCAGCTTATCAGTGCTGTTGAAACAATTAGTCCTTGGTTTGCTGAAGAGGGTGTTGTGGATAAGAAACACTGGGAGTAAAAAATATAGATCAGTGTACACTGGAAAGCCCTCACCTTGCATTTAAATATTTCATTTAAAGTAAATGTTACCTGTTATAAAGTTAATATTACTATGTGCAATGAGAAATTGTGGTGACAAAGTGTCCGGACTACCCATTTTGTTTTTGTTTTATGTACTAACTCTACCCCTATTATTGATAGGAATGCTTGGACAGATTATGCTTGGTTTGCTTTACAAAAAAAATGTAAGTCAAAATATGCCGCAAGTAGTTAAGATTCCACACACCTACAGAAATGTAATAATTACTGATAATAAGAGGCTAATTCCCTCAGATATGTTTCAATTTATCCTTAAAACATATTGAATATTATTGTGTTTGATTGCTGGATGTATATTTGTATAGAAAATTTGTATTATATTTGTATGATGTGTTAATTATGCCTATACCTTGGTGCAACTCTAGGGCCAAATGTAAGGACAGATTTTTGGGATGGAGAGGCTTGTGTCTTTGTTTGGCTCTGATAAACAAGTAACTTGTCTGCCGGATGACCTTCTCCTGCTCCTTGGGAGCCTGGCCAGCTCCCGGGGAGGGGATAAAGGAATGTTTTCTGATAAACAGGTGGGCATGCTTCGTGTCTCGGCTCTCTGGCCAAGATCCGGGATGGGACGCACTGCTTGCCTAAGATCTTGGCAATGAGCCACCCTTGTCCTTGGGGGCTTTAAGGAGGAGCCGGAGCAAGCCTCTGCTGCTGCTGTTTCATCCCGGGGGAACACGCAGTCAAGCTGAACGTTAAACGTGCCCGTGATGATTACTAATAATGTTTGATTCTCAGTATGTATCCTTTTCTGGTGCTGTGTAAAGATTGCCTAGTAATGCCCACAGTACTGTAAATTCTACAAAGCATAAGTACAACACAAATATGAATCAATTGGCTATTGTGGCTGAGGTGTTCTGTAACAGTCCCCTTAATAAAAAATTAACAAAATAAATTAATTTAAAAAACAGAACATTCAGGACCTGCCACTCTGCTTGGTATGTCATTACAAAAATCAACAAGGAGGACTATGCCTGATAAATGAGGGTGCTATCAATGTGGGCAACAGGGACATGTACAAATATTGTCCAAAAGTCAAACATCAAAAAAGCCCCTCCTCCTGGGATTTGCCCCTGGTGCTAAAGGGAAAGGCATTGGACCAATAAATGTCACTCCAAAACTGATAAAAATGATAATTCCTTAAATAAATAAAGTTCAGAAAACTAAAAGCGGGGCTGGCCCCAGGCCCCATCCCAACAAATTTTGGGGGCCATGACATTTGTTCCTCAACAGAACACCCTAAATCCGTCAATTTCCTCCACAGAGTCACAGAGGGTAGTGCAGGACTGGACCTCAGTGCCACCTCCTATACAGTATTGACCCCTGAGATGGGCCCACAAGGCCTCCCTACTGGGATTTTTGGTTCTTTGCCAACTGGGATTTTTGGTCTCCTACTGGGCAGAAGTAGTATAACTATGAAAGGGTTACAAGTTTTTCCTGGAGTTATAAACACTGACTTTACAGGTGCGATAAAAATTATGACTCAAGCCAATAATGTAACTTTACCTCCAGGACAATGCATTGCTCACTTGATTCTGTTCCCCTTCTCTTCAATTGGTAGGTCTTTTTTAAATAAAAGAGAAAATAACGGTTTTGGATCTTCTAATGCTTATTGAATACAACCCATAACTAAGGACCAACCCAAATTTTTCTTAAAATTAAATAAAAAGTTATTCAGTGGTCTTTTAGATACTGGAGCTGATGTCTCTGTTATTTCAGCAGCAAGCTGGCCCACAAATTGAAAAAAAAGAAAATTACCATAACTCAATTCCAAGGTATTGGTCGGAGTCAAAGATTAACACAAAGTTCCAAATTGCTACAATGGGAGGATAAAGCAGGTAATGCTGGAGCCTGTCGCCCCTATATTTTGGCTGCATTACTTGTTAATCTCTGGAGACGTGATATTCTAACTCAAATGGGGGCTTTCATACATAGTCCAAGTAAGATTGTTACCATTAACATACTTCAACAAGGTCATTTGCCAGGTAAGGGTTTAGAGAAACAACAACAAAGCATCACATCTCCAGTTACTGTAACTGTCAATCATGACCAGAAGCTTGGGTTTCCCTTGATGGCTACTGGTCAGCCTGTGCCTCATGCAAAAAATTAAATAAAATAAAAATCAGATAATCCCGTGTGGGTGGATCAGTGGCCTTTACTACAGGAAAAGATAACTGCTACACAGATATTGGTGAAAGAACAATTAACAGCAGGACATATAGTTCCTTCTAATTCTCCTTGGAATAGTCCTATTTTTGTTATCAGAAAAAAATCTGGGAGATAGCGATTGCTTCCAGGCCTTAGGGCTGTTAATGCTACTGTGGAAATTATGGGAGCTTTATAACCAGGTTTACCATTGCCTACTGCAATTCCAAAGGATTCTTATATTGCAATAATAGATTTAAAAGATTATTTTTATACTATACCTTTACATCCAAAAGATTGTCCCCGATTTGCTTTCAGTGTTCCATCAGTAAATTTTAAAAAACCTATACAAAGATGCCAATGGAGGATCTTACCTCAAAAAATGGCTAATAGCTCTACTTTGTGCCAACAATTCATTGATGCTGCTCTTCAAAAAATTTGCAAAAAATATAGCAATTTATATATTATACACTATATAAATGATATTTTAATAGCTGGACCCGAGGAATTTTTGGTGATGCAATGTCTGACAGTAATGAAAGAGCAATCATCTACTTTTGGTCTTATCATAGCCCCTGAGAAAATGCAACTTCAATATCCTTGTCAATATCTAGGCTTCCAATTGTACCCATGAAAAATACTTCCACAGAAAGTCACCTTACAATTGGATTCTTTACAGACTTTAAATAAGTTTCAAAAACTTCTAGGGAATATTAATTTGCTTTCTGCACATCTCCACCTCACAACAGGAGACCTTAAACCTTTATTCAATATCCTAAAAGGAGGTCAAGCTTCTGTAATTTGTGATGGTTACCGTACGGTTATTAACACCTCTTTTTCATCTCTACAGCTAGCTGAATTAGTTGCTGTTGCACTTGCATTGCGGTCTACTTTGGATGTAGCGGTTAACATATACACCAATAGCAAATATGTGTTCCTATCAGTGCCTCAATTGGACACTTGTTCATTCCTTCCTGGATCCTCAGCTGCTTCTCCTCTGTTTTCTCGCATTTGCACTGTCATTCGACAGCATACCTGTCCTTTCTTTATAGGTCATATTCGAGCACATTCCAATCTTCCTGGACCATTGGTAGAGGGCAATCATTTGGCAGCTTCTGCTCTATGCATATATTCTATTGCTACAGCAACAAAAGATCACATTTTACATCATTTAAATGCTCATACGTTACACTTAAAACATAATATTACTCAAGAACAAGCTCGACAAATTGTAAAATTCTGTTCTACTTGCTCCATCCAGTTACCAGTACCTCACTTTCGAATTAATCCTCGTAATTTATTCCCCCAATCAACTATGGCAAATGGATATCACCCACTTCATGGAATTTGGTAAACAAACATATATACATGTGTCTATTGATGCTTGTTTTAAATTTATTTTTGCTTCCTTACATACAGGTAAAGCTACAAGACATGTTATTGCCCGTTGCTTACAAGCTTTTGCTTCCCTAGGAACTCCAAAGCAGATTAAAACGGATAATGGACCTGCTTATATTTCTGCCTCTTTCAGAAATTTTTGTGTAACTTTCTATCTCATGTTACTGACATTCCTTATAATCCTCAGGGTCAAGACAATATTCTACATACACATAACACTTTAAAACAATATTTTAATGATATAAACAAAAGGGGGAGTTTAGGGTTCTTGCCCATTCTCCTAACAAATGGCTCTCACGTGCTTTATTCATTTTAAATTTTTTCACATTGGATAAAGATGGTCGTCTTGCAGCTATTCAACAGTGGCATCCACAAACAGCTGGGGTAAGAACAATGGTAAAATGAAAGGATCCTATCACCAATCAATGGAATGGACCTGATCCAGTACTGGTATGGGACATGGGCTCTTAAGGGATGGGTATTTTTATGCAACCAATTTGCTTTTACATTGTTAGCCCCTAATGATTTTCACAACTGCTCATTGGGCCGTGTGGCCCCAATGCTAACATCTGTATTTCCAAAGGCACAACAGTGACACTCATTACCTGAGAACTGTGATGATGATGTCATCTTAATTGGAGACCTGCTTTCACCATGGCTATACAGCTAGTGGGAGTTCCTGGATTGGCTTATGGAAATAATTGTGGACTACGAAGGCTTACACGTTTGATGACCAAAACAATCAATCTTATTACTACTGCACTATCCAATATAGCTAAAAAATTGGATCAAGTTCTTTCAGGAGTACTCTTAAACCGAGCAGCTATCGATTATTTGCTGTTAAAAGATCATGTAAGCTGTAAATCTGTTCCAGGAGGATGTTGTTTTAACATTACTAACAATGCCATATATCGAGTCTGTTATTGATAAACTTAAGAGTAAAATGCAACATATGTTTATTACTAACCCACTAACATTTGAAGGGTTTCAATGGATTCATTGGTTATTAATGCGGGCTAGATTGTTACTGATTTTCATACTTTGTATGGGTTGTTTTCCATGTGTTCTACAATTTGTGCTATCTTCGCTACAGTCTGTATGGACTGACATTCATCACTTAAAACTTTGTACCAAACCTCCTTTGTAATCAAAAATAATTAATATTTGGCTGTATGTTTCATCTCTCACCTAATGTTGGGCTAAAATGGTACTTAAAAATGGGTAAGACACTCCACATCCTGTACCTACCTAAGACAGGGCTCAAGTTAAAGAATGGGTCACTATCGGTTGCTTGTGTGTCATGATACTACTGGGCCTTGCCTTCATAGCCAGATGGATCAGAGCCTTAGCACTCCGTCAGCAGAATACCAACTTGATAATCCAACAGGCTACGCTGGCCACCTTGTGATCTCACCCCAATAAAGAAGTATGGCTTAGCATGATGGAGCGGTAGTCAAAGACGGGTAAACACTGATGGGCGCTCCTAGCAACCTAAGACAGAGGGTAGGACAGGCTTCCTATTACCTCCATGACGGGTAAGCAGGTAGCGCGCCATTGGGTACCTAAGACAGGCACGTTTCCATGCCATTTAAATAATAAAGAAGGGGGAGATGTGGGGCTCCATGGGATGCGCAGCCATGGAGCCCCCACGTCAAGGTCGGTCTGATAGCTGTTGCTGTGTCTTTATCACAAGGCGAATGTTGCTAGTTTCAGTTAGGGCAATGCTTTCCCACGGTCGGGACGTTCCAGAGGAGTTGAGAATGTTGTAAACAACAAGATGGCGCCGAGGACCGCGCGGTGAGCCTGCCTGCTGCGTGACACCTCATCTGATTGGCCCGAGGATGCGTGCACACTGCATGAACAGACAGCGGATTGGAGTGTTCCGTGCATGGACTTGAGCCCGCTTGCAATTGGCCAGATTTTGTATATAAGCTATGTGCTGAGGAAGGAGGGGGCTTTCCTGTCCACTCTCCTCCTTTCATTCTTTCTCTGTCCCTGTTATTTTCCCATTAAAAGTCTGCTGAAGACCGATGAGCTGCGAACAGTGTCGTTCCTTTGCGGGCAAGGGAGCGGCAATTTCAAGTATAGGTATCTCTGCTGTGTTTTATAATTTGCTATCAATTGGCTATAATCAGTAGTTGTGAACTCCAGCCTGCAGGTCAGACTAGGACAGCAGCCAGTTTCTGTGCAGCTCATGAGGATGAAAATGGTTTTATACATTTAAGGAATTGTCAAAAAGAAAAAATAAAGGAAAATAAAACAAAGAATATTTGACAGAGACCTTATATGGTCCACAAAGTCTGAAATATTTAGTACTTTACAAAAATAGTTTGTGGACCTCTAGATTAAGACATTTCTTTTTTTTAAAAAGGATTTATATATTTATTTGAAAGTCAGAGTTACACAGAGAGAGAAGGAGAGGCAGAGAGAGAGAGAGAAGCCTTCCATCGATGGTTCACTCCCCAATTGGTTGCAATGGCCAGAAACTGTGCCGATCCAAAGCCAGGAGCCAGGAGCTTCTTCTGGGTCTCCCATGTAGGTGCAGGGGCTCAAGCACTTGGGCCATCTTCTGCTGCTTTCCCAGGCCATAGCAGAGAGCTGGATGGGAAGTGGAGCAGCCAGGACTCGAACCGGCACCCATATGGGATGCCGGCACTTTGGCCAGGGCATTAACCTGCTGTGCCACAGCGCTGGCCCCTAGATTAAGATATTTCACTTATAGGAAATGATGCCAATGCAAATGACTCTCAGAGATAACATTTCATTACATATACAACAGCAATTTAGCTTTATAGCACATTCTAGCACTTTCTTTCAATGACTGTGTGTGTGTGTGTGTGTGTGTGTGTGTGTATATATATATATTTCTGGTTTTTGCTATACTCTTTTGAACTGGCATGGCCATCCTACCAGTTCCCTCATGAATTAGTTAAGTCAATCTTTGAAAATAGATAGATGATCCATTGCAAATCTGGGCATGCATATACACATATATACACAGAGAGGAGGGCACTTCAGAAAGTTCATGGAAAAAAGGAAATAAAAAGAAGCTTATGGGGCCAGTGTTGTGGTGAAAAAGGTTAAGCCTCCGTCTGCAGTGTCTGCAGAGTTGGTAACTCATATGGGTGCTGGGTCAAGACCTGGCTGCTCCACTTCTGATCCAGCTTCCTGCTAATGCATATGGGAAAGTAATGGGAAATGCCCTAAGTACTTGGGCCCCTAAACCCATGTGGAAGACCTGGAATAAGCTCCATGATTCTGGCTTCAGCTTGGCCTGGCTCAACCCTGGTCATTATGGCTATCTGGGCCCTGAACCAGAGGACAGAAGACCACTCTCTCTCTCTCTCCTCCTTTCTTAATATCTGTCTTTCAAATAAATAAATAAATCCTTTAAAAAGAGATAGAGACGCTTATTTTGCTACAAAAAAGTTTTGAAATCTATGCATATGAAGAGTTCGTCACAAAGTTCAATGAAAAAACGTGAACTACGAAAAAACTGCAAGAATTTCAAAATTTTTTCACCAAAAAAACGAATTTTTAAGTACATTTTTCATGAACTTTTTGAAGTACTCTTGCATTTGTAGAAAATGTTTGTTTATTTTCAATGATTACTTATTGTCATCTACTTGAAAAGCAGTGAGAAAGAGAGAGAAAGAAAGAGAAAGAGAGGGGGAGAGAGAGATTGACTTTCCATCCACTGGTTCACTTCCCAAATGCCTGTGACAGCCAGGGCTGGGACAGGCCAAAGACAGGAACCAAGAACTCCATTCAGGTCTCCCATGTGGCAGCAGGGGCCAGGCACTTGAGCCATCATGCACTGTTTCCTAGGATGCATTAGCAGGAAACTGGATGGGAGGCAGAGGTGCCAGAACTTGAACTGGCATTGATATGGTGTTCCAAGTGGTGGGTTCCATAGGTCCACTCTCGTGAATTTTTTTTTTTTTTTTGACAGGCAGAGTGGACAGTGAGAGAGAGAGACAGAGAGAAAGGTCTTCCTTTACCATTGATTCACCCTCCAATGGCCGCTGTGGCCGGCGCGCTGCGGCCAGCACACCGCGCTGATCCGAAGCCAGGAGCCAGGTGCTTCCCTGGTCTCCCATGCAGGTGCAGGGCCCAAGGACCTGGGCCATCCTCCACTGCACTCCTGGGCCATAGCAGAGAGCTGGACTGGAAGAGGAGAACTGGGACAGAATCTGGCACCCCAACCGGGACTAGAACCTGGGGTGCCAGCGCCAGGTGGAGGATTAGCCTATTGAGCCACTGTGCCGGCCCTCGTGAAATGTTTTAATTGGTAAATGGCACCATGACATGTGGATGGACATGACCTACTTAACCACACCCCTATGGAAGGACATCTGGGTTGTTTTCACTCTTATTCATCAGCCCTATTGCTATCCTTTTCTTGCAAGCTTCCCATTGTAAATACATCTACAACAACCCAGCAGCCAGGACTACTAGGTCTTCTTTCGTCCAGAATAATTTAACAGATAATCTGTTGTCTATATTTTTACTCTAGACTAAAAAAGCTTCACATTATTCTCCAAAGTACTTGTATTTTTTCTAACCTCTGAGACTTAAGAGTTGCCATTCCTAAATACTACCTACTCCAGTCTCTATTTCAGAAATCTCATCTACCCTGTAAGCTCGAACGTTAGCCACTCAGGGGTCATGGGCTCAACCTGGACTCTCCTTCCTTTCTTTTCTTTCGCTTTTTACAAAATTTTTATTTTCTTATTTATATATAAGGCAGAGCTAGAGAGAGAAGAAGAGAGACAAAGAGAGAAATCTTCCATCTACTGGTTTACTCCCCAAATGACCCTAATGACCAGGGCTGGGCCAGGCAACAGCCAGGAGCCCAGAACTTATTCCAGGTCTCTCACATGGGTGCAGGGACCCCGAGACTTGGGCCATTTCCCATGCACATTAGTAGGGAACTGGATCAGAAACGCAGCAACTGGGTCTCAAACCAGTGCCCATACGGGATGCCTGCATCACAGGCGGACACCTTCCCTACCCCGTTTATTGTCTATAGACCTTTTAACCTTGCTTCAGGTACATTTAAGGAAAAGGTAAAGTAAATATTATCCATTGAAGTGAAAATATGAAACCAAATCAATCTTAAATAAGCTTAATTATCTTGGAAATAACGCATTCTAAGATTCATTTGATACGTAACCAGATAAAGAATATCAGAAATTTCATCAAATTTCCACCTAAAATAAAGATATACCTTAATGAAAAACAAACAAACAAAAACCCTTGAATATTTTCAATCACCCTAAAACTGACCATGTTCCTTTGCCCTGGCTTTATATATATTAAACGACTTTCCATTCTTCATTTGCCTTCCAATGTGAACTTTCATACAAGTGAGACAACATATTGGGCAGACAATAATACCCAAGCCACTGTGTTCCTTGAAATTTGGTGCTGTATTGCTGTTGCCTATATTCATTGTGACTGCTATATTCTGGCATATATAAGGCACTGGATAAATGTGTATTTTGGGAATGAATGTATTTTTGTATCAATATACCAGTAAGTAAATTTAGATTGAGTCAGCCCCCTAAATCAAATCACCTCTCAGTGAATGATAAGTCCACATTTTAATTGCAAAATAAATAGAGAAATCAAAGGTTGAACATGTGTTGACCAACAACCAACACACAAGAATCCTAAGAATTGCTGAGAAATCTGCCTTTCAATTTCCTGAAAAAAAATTATCCTCCTAGCTACAATAATATAGATGAAATTCCACTTGTCTTGAAGTTTTATGTATGTCCTTGATAGATGCAAAGCCCTTCCTTTTACCTGACTCAGCAGGTAGAATAATGAAAAAGAGACCACCTGCCTAGTCAGCCAGATGTCTAGTGATCAATGGAGCAGACAAGGGAGGTTGCAGGAGGATCAGACTTACCTTCTGGTTATTTGTAAATGTCTTATTTAATCCACATACTGTTAAAGACAGGGAGCAGGGATTCAATAAAGAATTGTTGGTGATCAATTCATTATTCTTCCAGTAAATAATTATTGAGTTTCCACACTGTGAAAAGTACTATAGGTACTGAGCATAAATTAGGAAACAAAATAATGTGCCTGATCTCACAAAACTCAGGTTCAAATGTGGGAAGATGGACCAACGTTTAAAAATAAAGGAAAAAAGGTATATAAAGATGTATGAGAGTGATAAGTACCTGAAAAACAAAAAAGCAGAATAATAGGAAAGTAAATATCAGAAGAAGGGAGAGGAGAAGAAGTGTTACTGAGATGGTGAATTTTCAGAGGAGACTAAAAAGAAATGAATAGAGTAAGCCATGGGGGATCTCTCAGGAAAGAGCAGATGGAAGCCAGAGGGAATAGCAGGCCAAAGGTTGACCTAAGGCAAGACTATATTTGACCTGTTTGAGAAACAGTATATCTGGATTAGAGTTACCAAGGGAAAGAGTATTAGGAGATGAGGGCGGAGGTGTGAGTATAGATGTGTATGTAATAGTCCACTGGGGGTCAGGGGGTGGGGAAGAGGAGTCATATAGTGTTTTAGATTAAGTCATTAAGAAGGGCTTTGGCTTTTTCTCTGAGCTAGATGGGGATCTAAATTGGTTCTGAAGAGGAGATGATGTGCTCTGCTTGTTTTAAAACTACCACATACTAATGGGTTGAAAATACACTATAAAGGAGCCAAGGCAAAAACATGTATATAAAAAGCCAGGAAACATACAATGGGATTTCAAACAAGGGTAGTGACACTAAAGGTGAGACTGTGGTAGGTTTCGGACATGTTTTGAAAGTACAGCTGAGGCTGGCGCCGCAGCTCACTAGGCTAATCCTCCGCCTGCAGCGCTGGCACCCCAGGTTCTAGTCCCATTCAGGGCGCCAGATTCTGTCCCGGTTGCTCCTCTTCCAGTCCAGCTCTCTGCTGTGGCCCAGGAGTGCAGTGGAGGATGGCCCAGGTCCTTGGGCCCTGCACCTGCATGGGAGACCAGGGAAGCACCTGGCTCCTGGCTTCAGATCAGCGCGGTGTGCTGGCCGCA